TAAATGCACGTTTTTTGACACATAAGTTGCAAATGCTTTTCTTATCTCTATCAGCGTCATACATTACAAAATACGAGTTCGAAATGAGAAACACTAACTTTGTTTCATCAAGATGACATCAAAAAAACTGGCTTACTCCATATTTTTAATTTTCTGGTGCGAATCCTGTAAAAAATTGTTGAGCCTACCCTAGATCCAAAACATTTCGCCACCTATGAACAGGGCCATATTTTTCTGAAGACTGAATTTGTTTCAATAGGTCTGAATTATTTAAAGGATAATTATAGAACTTTGTACAACTGAGATGATTATTTATTTAGTTCCTAATTATGCACCAATAAGATTGCACTTCAAATCGTTTCTATTATCAGCCCACAAAAATTTCATGCGGCTAAAGGTCAATTCACAAATAGCATTCTAGGTTGATATAGAAAAAGTGAACTAAACTAGTTTTTTTCCATGAGGTACATCTTAACCATCAAGAAGATAAGCTCACAAATAAACACATATTATCAGGCATAACAAGCAGAAACGACGTGTTTTCTTATTGTCTATTGCATCTATGCAATAGTGTGATAGTTCTCTTTTTCTTTGTCTTATTGATTCAAAATATCACTACAATTAAATGTGACAAAATCCTTTAAAAAACCAGGAGAAACCAGGAGAAAATCATAAAAACCAGCTCCTGGATTCAGGAGATTTTTTCGCTAGGAGAAAACTCTAAAAATCAGGAGTCTCCTGGCTAAATCAGGAGATTTGGCAGCCTTGGTGTGGGGTCTGTATGCGGATGTGGAGGTGAGTGTAAGGGTGTGGGTGTGGGTAGGGTTTGAGTGCGGATGTATGTGGAATTTTGTGTGGGTATGAGTATGGCCGGTGTGGGCGTGGGTGGGTGTCGGGTATGGAATCTGGATGTGGGTGTGGATGTGAGTGTGATTGTGAGGTGTTAGCGCGTGGGCGTGGGTGAGGTTTGAGTGTGGATGTGCGTAGGATTTCCGTGTGGGTATGAGTATGGCCGGTGTGGATGTCGGTGGATGTGGTTGTGGGTGTGGATTTAGGCGGGTGTTGATGTGAGGTCTGAATGTGAGTGTGAGTGTGAGGTGTGGGTATGGCTGTGGGTGTGTGTTGGTGTGGGATGTGAGGTCTGAATGTGGGTGTGGATGTGACTGTGAGTGTGAGGTGTGGGTGGGTTTAAGTGTGGGTGTGCGTAGAATTCCCGTGTGCGTATGAGTTTGGCCGGTGTGGGTGTCGGTGGATGTGGGTTTGGGTGAGTGGGTGTTGGTGTGGGTCTCGATGTGAATGTGAATGTAAGGTGTGGGTGTGCATGAGATTTCTGTGTGAGTATGAGTATGGCCGGCGTGGGTGTCGGTAGGTGTTGATGCCAGCGGGTGTGGGTGTGGAGTGTGGGATCTGGATGCGAGTGCGAGATACGAATATGGGTGTGGGTATGAGTATGGCCGGTATGGGTGTTGGTGAATGTGGTTGTGGGCGTGGGTGGGTATGAATGTGTATGTCGGTATGGATGTGGATAGGTGCGGACGGGTGCAGGGTATGGATGTCGGTGTGGGTGTGGGTGGGTGCAGGGTGTGAGTGTCGGAGGGTGTGGGTGTGGGTGTGAGTGGGGTTTCCGTGTGAGTGTGTCTGTGTGGGTTGAATTTTTGTGTGATTGTAGTTGTGGCTGGTGTGGGTATGTGTGGAACTTGAGTGTGGATGTAGGGTATGGGAGTGGGTGCGTGCAAGTGTGGGTATAGGGTATGGGCTTGGGTGCGTGCAAGTGTGGGTATAGGGTATGGGCTTGGGTGCGTGCAAGTGTGGGTGTAGGGTATGGGCGTAGATGTGTGCAAGTGTGGGTGTGGGTGTGGATAGTTGGTTGAGGTTAGGGTCTGAATGTGGGATGTGGATGGGTATGAGTGTGGGTGTCGGGTGTTGGTGTGGGTGTGTATGATTGTGGTTGTGAACCGTCTTCTCATCCGCACCTACATTCGCGCCCACACTAACATATCAACGATAGCAGCATGAAATCCCTTGAACATAGAATCCAACACCATATGTAACGGAACAAGACATGTAGAAATATAACAATGCATCCAAAAATGAGATCCATGTGATCTCAACAGGAGCACTCCACAAAATCTGTAGAATAAAGTAGAGACCCCAAAAAGGCAACGAATAAAGAAAAGTCCTCCGGCAAAAACCGTCAAAAAATCTAACCTGTACATAGTGAAAGCACGAATTCCCACAGCGAAAAACATTCAAAACAATTACCGCAAATGTCTAACCGCAATGGATACAAAGTCCTTCCTGTGCATGTCCTCCTTTCTCCACAAGCCCTACCACATGACGCTGGTTTCATCGCAAAACACCTCGAAATGACAAAGATCAACTAGTTACACTTTAGAGTTTTGGAAGTGCTTCGAACATTTTCAAAAGAAGAAAATTGAACATTCTGAAGGATTAGAATTGTTTGAACATTCAAGGTATAATCTCATTTGCATGTCACCTTCATCGAAAAAGAAAAGCACGACTAGTTTCAACATTCTCAAGGATCTCATCCGGCAGCTTTAGCTCTGCATTGTCTTAGATGACTAAACTTAAAAGAAATTCTATTACAGAAGAAAACTTCCAAGATGGAATCACTAAGCTCAAAGCCAACAGAGATTTCTTTGCATAATACAGACACACTATTATAGAAAGAAATTTCTACCTGCTTTTAGCTTAGTGATTTGATCTTGAGAGTTTTCTTCTGTAATAGAATTTCTTTTAAGTTTAGTCATCTAAGACAATGCAGAGCTAAAGCTGCCGGATGAGATCCTTGAGAAGATCGAAACTAGTTGTGGCTTCCTTTTTCATTATACATTCGCCCTCACCCCACACGCTTCCCACCCTCACCCAAGACATTCCACCTTCGCTCCACATCCAAGACCTCTCGCCCTCATTCCACACCCTCACCCTTGCCCTCACCGTTATCCTCATCCTCGCCCTTACTCTCACCCTCACCCTTACCATCACCCTTACCCTCACCCTCACCCTTACCCTCACCCTTACCCTCACC